GTGCATGGGGGTGCCGTGTGGCGCGGGTGGGAGTGTGTGAAGATGCGGTCGCAAGCACGATGGGCCTGGGCCAGAGGAGGAGGGCGCAAGCTGCGCCGTGCCGTGCCTGCCGCACGTCGACGCGGATGAATCCCGCAACGTTCGTCTGCTCCAGCCACTGCACTGGTCTGTCAGCGGTGCTGGTCATTCTGGGGCGTGTCCTGTAAGACTGAGCTTTGTTGCGGCGTTCCCTGCGCGGTCTCTCCAGGTCGGGCTGGACAGGCGCTCCGCGCGGCACGTCCGCGCAGGCCATCACCTGCCGCAGCTCAAACATCCGCGCGAACGAGTCGGCGCAGCCCGCGCCGCCGCTCCCCCTGCCGCCGCCGCCGCCGCCCCCGCTTCCCGCCAGCCAGAGGTCGTGATTCCCCGGCACGTACGCCACGCGCCCAAACTTGGGGCGCAGCGCGGCCAGCGCTGCCCTCACGCCCGCCGGCGAGTCGGCGACGTCGCCTGCGGTGGGTGCACTCATTCAAACACACCCCGTGTCCAGCCCACCGCGGACAAATCAGGTGAGAGAAGGGGCCAAGGGTCGTGTGTGGGGTTTGGTAGCCGGGCAGGGGAAGCTGAGACTCGGCAAGCTGTGCGCGCACGAAGTCAACTGCCCAGCGCTAGAAGGGAGGAGGGAGTCAGAGCTGTCCGGGTGAAAACGGGTAATCGGGCTCACCGGCGACGATCAGCACGTCGGCCAAAAACGCGGTGGGGCTTACCGCCCGCACCCACTCCATGTGGCGGGGCCCGGCCTTGTCAATGTGCAGGTCTGACACCGCAAACACGCGCCGGCGGCCCCTGGGCAGCCGCGCGTCGCACCAGTACCGCGCCGCGTCGGCGGCGGGCGGCGGGCGGCGCGCGAGCGCCGCGAGCACGTGGAGGCGGGCGTGGGAGAGGCGCTCGGCGGCGTCGGTTGGGCAGGTGCCTGGCGGCCAGGTCTGCAGGTCCTGGCAGGCGCGCGCATACAGCTGGTATGCAGCCTCGAGCCCCACCCCCTCGGCCGCGCTGCAAAGTGCCGCCCACGCGCGCGCGCGTGCGCCGCCCGGGGCCGGCGCCGCTTCCAAGGCCCCCTTGGCGGCGAGGAACGTCGTAAGGGGGTCGTGGGCTGTCATCGGCGGGGCGAGGCGGGGCCCGGCCGGCGGCGGGTGCGGGCTCTGTTGTTGGACCGGTGGACGGCGCTGATGCAGGTCCAGCGTGGGTTGGCCGTGCGTCGAGAGTTGAAAGAAATTAAGTGATGCTTTGAATACGAATACGCGAAGTAAGCTCGATCCAAGACGCTGTTGAACGGTGGGCAGCAGTCCACGGCATCGAGGAGGCACGAGGGGAGGAGCAGCCATTGCTCGGATTCGAAGCGTAGAATGCCCTAAGTGCGTTTGTATTGTGTTTATTGCTTCTGCTAGCCATTGGCGCGGCCGCCAATCAGCTTACACACTCGTTGCACACAGTCGCGATGCAGTCCCTCCGCAGCAGCAGCCTGGCCACCAGGGCCTTCGCCCCGGCACAGACCGGCCGTCGGGCAGCAGTTGTGGTTCGCGTCAAGCCCACGGCAGCTGGCGACTACAGGGCCCTCTCTGCCGAGGAGCTCATCCAGAAGGCGGCCTCCCTGAAGGCCGAGTACACCAAGCTGCAGTACCTGAAGCGGACGCGCGGGAAGGTCACCAACCCGGAGACCCTGCAGGTCCGCTGGCTGGCCTGGGCCTGTCTTTGTGGTGATCGTGTGGCCGCGTTGGTCGGCACCACGCTCATTCGCGGCATTGTGGGATTCGTGAGGTTCTCCACCACCTACCTTTATTGGTGGCAGTGGCCGCAGGCCGTGCGGCGTGGCCTGCACGCGCCACGCCAAGCGGCGGCGCGCTGTGTTGGCGCGCTGCTGCGGTGCATGTGCGTATGCTGCTTGTGCCAGTGCGTTGGACAGCCGATGATGGGCAGGCCTGGATTTTTATTCATGAGCAGCAGCTTCCCACTCGATGGCATGGCTGCCACCGACATGCTTTTCTAGCAACGACACCGCCAGTGCCCAGGGAGTGTGCAAAAGATCCCCGCCTCCCTGCTATGTGCCCCTCCACAACCACTCCGCCGCCCCACTTGCAATCCTCCAACCACAGGACCAGGCCGATGACGGCATTGCCCCCAAGGGCCACGAGTTCAAGCACGCGCGGCGGCAGCTGTCGCAGGTGCTGACCGTGCTGCGGGAGAAGCAGATCGCCGACGGCCTCAGCCGCAAGGACGCGCGCAAGATCGAGAAGGAGGCGGCCGTGGCTGGCGGTTTCGGCCGCTTCTGATCAGGCACTCATTCCCAGCTGCTGACGCTGTGTGGCTGCCGGCCCATGTGTTTGCTGGTCAACTCCCCGATGATGGGTCAGCGGCGGCAGGCGTGGCCAGGCTCGGCGCTGCGGGCGGCACTTGTTCAGACCCACTTAGTTACGAGGCCCGCTGGCAGCTGGGCTCTGGTCGCGTACGTGTAAGGCAGACACCGACTTGCAGGCTTGGGGGTCGGCTGCCAGGTGAAGCGCGGCCGCAACGCGGGTCGCAGGGTCACTCATGGGCTAGTGAAAAGACAGGGCCACAAACGCAAGAAATGGGTTCAGTCGGCCAGCAACACACTGTCGTGATGAATCATGACGCCAAAATGGGCTGGGTGCAGCAATATATGGCGTAGGTGCACATTAAGATCAAGTGAGGGTGGGGTGCTGGGTGAGGACGGGCAGCTAGTAAGGAGAGTACCCCCTGCCACGGCCGCGACCCCGGTACCCGCCCCGCCCTCGCGGCGTGAAAGCGCCGCCGCCGCCCCGGGCGCCAAAGTAGCCGCCGCCGCTGCGGCCCCGCCCGCGGCCGCGGCCGCGCGCCTTGAGACCCGGCACGTTGGTGCGCTTGCGCAGGACCTGCGGCGCGACGCCACAGCCGAGGGTGTCAAGGTCGGGGCAGGGGCACGTTCTCAACACGGCGTTCAGAGGCATGGAAAGTTTGTGATCAGATAGTAACGGCGTGCTGACCCATGGGGCGCATCGTGTGGGTGTCATCAACAAGTCCGAGGCGCCGCCACTGCAGCACGGCCCTCCCCCCCCTTGCAGCCACCTCGGCAGCCGTGGCTGCGTGCACACAAGCCCGCGTGCACACAAGCGAGGGTGCCTCTCGCGCTGTGGTCACCTTGAGGCCGCGGCCGCGTATCTCGCTGGCGTCCAGCAGCAGCGCATTGTCCACCGCGTCAGCCTCCAGAAACTCAACGTAGGCAAAGCCCTGGGGGGGGGGGGAGGGAAAGGGGCCGGCTCCGGGTGAGGGTGAGTATTTCAAGGGTGGTTGAAGGGTGGTTGATGGACGGTGATATGAAGGGCCGAAGCCATCGCGGAGGTTTTCAGAGGTCAGGTGCGGCAGCACGCAAGGCCTGTGTGCAGACACACGCTTTGCGGACGCCCAGTGACCCGGCCAGAGCATTGCTGCTGGTCGCAGGGAAGCAGCTGCTGCTCGCAACAGGGCGGAGGTGCGCGCGGTCAATCTGTGCACCTTGGGGTTGCCGGCTGCGTCTGTGAGGATCGTGACTCTGTTGACTGTGCCGCAGCCCTGGAAGTGCAGCTGCAGCTCCTCAGGGGTGGCCGCGTAGTCAACGTTGCCCACATACACGCTGCGGCCGTCCGCCTCCTCCTTGGCCACCTGCTCCGCGTCGGGGACCGCCGCTGCCGCTGCTGCTGCTGCTCCCACTGCTGCAGGCGCGCCCGCCGCCGCGGCGGGGGCTTGGGCTTTGTCCTGCGAGCACGGCCGGGGGGCAGCCGCTCGGGTTGGGGTGCGATCAGACGCCAACCCTGGCAGCGTTGTCCCCATCAGATGGGACGGCTGAGACCATGCCCTGCACCAAACTGGCTTGAAACCTGCAGCAAAGGTGACGATACCTTACCAGATGCCCGCATCGGCAACTGCACCACCAGCAAGCTGCGGCTGTGCCTAAAGCCGGACGTCTGGTGAGGGGGTCCATGAACCGGACCCAGCGGCGTCACCTGCTGCTCCTTGAGCCGCGCCGCCTCCTCCTCCATCTCAGCCAGCTTGCGGCGCATGTCTTCCAGCTCCTGGAGGTGCAGGACAGCAGCAGATGGGCGGTAGAAAGCAGTAGTGCTGGTGCGCAAAGTTACGAGCCGGGTGCGACCGCAGCGTGCAGGAACGACGTTGGCCGCCGAGGCGGGCGAAACCGACGTTTGAGGCGTTACGCGGCAGCGACACCGGCGTGACCAAAAAGTCAGCCTGTGTTCCTCATCAACCAGAAATGGCTCACGTCCTCTCCATCCTCAGCGCCTTCCTCTTCCATCCCCTCGCCCTCATATTCGTCCTCCTCCGCAGCCCCTACTTGCTGCTCAGGATCTGTCATTATATATGCTTCACGCTTGTGCGCGGAGGCTTGGCGTCAGATCTAGTGATCACCGCAGCGAGGTGTTACAGAAGCTTGCCTCCTGTTGATAGGAATGATCCACGCTCCTTATATCACTTGAGGCACCCAAGCAGTTTGCACGTGCAGAAGAAGCCAGGAAAGAAGTCGAGTTGGTCAAAGCTACACGACGACGAGTGAAAACGTGGGGCACAGGGCACCCACTCAAGACGTGCCACTGGTTGAGCACTACACGTGCTCTGCAGCATTGATGTCCCATCAGGCGGGCGTAACGAACCGTGCGCAAACAGCGGCCTCACACCGGCAACGTCGGCCCATGCCCAGGGCCGGGGCGCCTCAGGGCGCCGCTGAGGCCGCGGCTGCGCCTTTGCAGGCACAAGATTGGCGGCAGCCCGCGCGTGCGCTGGGCACAGCGGGCGCATGCTGGGCTGTCTTGACTCCTGTTATGGTTGTGGGGGGCCGCTTGCGCTAACGCGCGCGGCCCCAGCCCAGCGCCTCGGTTGTATGATACAGCGGTCGCCGGTGGTGTTGGGTGGCGCCCGGGAAGAGGGGGCAGGGCTCCAGGGGCTCAGGGCCCGCGGCGCCTTGGAAAAATGGCCCTGGCTCTGCAACATGGCAAGAGCGCGAAATCGACCAAAGGGCGCCTCTCAATTGGTTCTCTCAGAAGGCCGAACCGCGAGTGTTTGAAGTGTGAGCGGCGCCATTCAGCAGCAGCAAGCCCACCAGCCGTGATGCGATGGAAGCAACGCGCGTGGTGCGCTCGCAACCTGTCCTTGCGCAGCCGCCAGGGCTCTGCCTGCAGCTAGCCCTCCATGCGCAAGCGCTGTCAGTGCGGCTGTCGTCTCCTGCCCGCCGGCCGGGCCTGGCTGCAGCCGTACCTAAGCAGCTGGCTGCGGAATAAAAGGTGCCGCCGCGGGCTCTGGCGTGCCGTCGCCGCCGTCCGCCGCCTTCGCTTGCGGCCGTGTCAACAGCTCAGCCGCGAGCTGCTGCTGCTGTTGCTGCTGCTGCTGCTGCTGCTGCTTGCTGGTTGTTGAGGGACGTGTGATGGGCGGCAGCAGGCCGCGCCGCCGCCGCAGTGACGTGTCAATGCTCTGATACAGCAGGAAACAGTTCATGGTACCTGGGGGGTAATGAAGGGGGTGGGGGCCAAGCATTGCGAGCCAGCCAAAGAGCCATCAGCTAGGGTACGAGGCTATGCGCCAGCAGAGGCAGAGCTGCCCCGATCGCAGCAGGTGGCAGGCAGGTTGGTGCCAGGGACTCGCGAGGTGCCGTCGCCCACGACCCCATCGACCATCCGCAGCCCCGGGCAGGCGCACAGCCGCGACTTTGCCGGTGCATGACCCGCCGACC